ACCATATGCCACTGGTTGTTGAATCATGTTTTCCGTCATAGCGGCTGAATCAGCTTGCGTTCTGCATGTTCAGCGTCACATGACCTGATGATTGTTTGTTTGAATACTTGACTCAATGCGAAAAAACATGCTCATGCACAAAATGAATTGCATGTAACCCCGCAGAAGGACCCCATGAACCTTTGGTACTCCCGATTAAGGACCCCAATAATCCCTGGTATTAGTCCTACATAACCTTCGGGGTCCCTTTAAGGCTTTATATATTTGCAAAAGCTGTATGAGCACAAGCTGCAAGCCAGAATTGCTGCGAAAAACAATATGAATAAAACTTGCCAAACAAGCAGGACTGGGGGCTGCTCCACTCTAGCAGCACTGCACTCTTCATCTCTCTTTGCTTGGAAAATCTGCATGGCCCCAAAGCACACATCCAGTTTTTACTCCTCAAGGCGCCAGGCTCCATCTTGTGACACACGGCCAGCTCAGATCCTCGCGCTACGGACGATCGGCCAGTCCTTCTGACCATGCCTGGCAAAAGACTGAAATACGGGCTTAACAGATAAAGTGCAGGGTGCAGACTCCCGGACTAGCCAAACCGTTCAGGAATTTCGAACCGAAGCTGGGCAATGAAGCCCAAAACTCAATGCCAAAGGACACTGCGTGCCCAATGTGGTTAATGCACAGGAGCTCCAAAGGGTGCCAGCACCTTCCCCGGCCCCAAAAACCCCCTTACCCCATGATCCCAACCCCCCAGCCGCCCTAAACCTAAATCTCAGGTCCCAACGGGTGCAGGGTATTGCAAGCAAAGACCCCAATCATGGAACAATTGGATGCCCTGATTCCAGAAGCAACAGATCTTGGCCAAAACTGGCTTCCTGATGCCCTCATTCCAGCAGCAACAAATCTTGGTCAGTTACCGGACAACATACCATCGGTTAGGACCACTGACTGGCAACATGCTGCGCCAACATACAAAGAAAGATCCAACAATACATCCAAAACGTAAACTACACATGCATGTCATTGGTTAAGACCACCATCAAAACGCGGTCCCAACATACAGGGAATGCAAGTGCAATGCTTCAACAACGCGAGCAACACTTGCAAATACATACCATCGGCTAGGACCACTGACTGGTAACATGCTGCCCCAACATACAAGAACAGATCCAACAATGCATCCAAGACGTAAACTAAAAAATCAATGTCATTAGTTAAGATACCCATCAAAACGTGGTCCCAACATACAGGGAATGCAAGTGCAATGCATCAACAACGCAAGCAACACTTGCAAATACATACCATCGGCTAGGGCCACTGACTGACAACATGCCGCCCCAACATACAAGAACAGATCAAACAATGCATCCAGAACGTAAACTACACATGCATGTCATTGGTTACCAACATACAGGGAATGCGAGCGCAATGCATCAACAACGCGAGCAACACCTGCAAATACATACCATCGGTTAGGACCACTCACTGGCATCATGCGGGACAGTGATGGGGACAGTGACCCCGCCTCAGGGCCACAAGACTTTTGTGAAGTCTTGGATGGCCGCTCGGAAAACGGGGCAACGCTCCTTCTTCCCTCTGCGAGTGTAGCATATGCTACACATGCAGACGTGGCGGCATGGTTTAGTCATGATGTCCCACGGACGCTCCATGCAAATGCAGCATGCGTCCGGGGGTGGTGGAGGTTGGGTGGCTTGAGTGCTGGTGGTGTGGGTGGTGGGTGGAGCGTCAGGTTGCGTGGAAGTGTTGTCGGTGTCGTTGGGGTTTGTTTGCGTGGAGATGTGGTAGGTGTCGTTCAAGGTGGTCTGCGTCGCCACGGTACGCACCTGTCACAGAGGAAGCTACGGCTAGGCTTAGGCAGAGCTGCGCAGCGGCCTCTGCCTTCTCGCGGAAAAGGCACGAGAACATGATTAGGGAATAGGTGAGGGTTGTCACACAAGCTCGAGCCCTTTGATTGCGAAGCTCCGCTTTGTGCTTAACGCAAGAAATGTTTACGCATTGCTCAGCTGCCTCTTGGCCTCTTTACATCCCTTTACTGTTTTGCGTAGCTCGCACTGCTCCAGCGCCAGGATGCACTCATTTTTCTCCGGGTTGCATTTGCGAAGGCTTCTAGGCGGTGGAGTAAAGGAAGGCCCCAGGCTAGAGGCCCGCCAAAAATAGTTGGCGAGAAGAGTAGGCTATGTACTACAGGCTGGTACATAGCAGGGCACCTACATTCACTTAGAGCGCCAGGGTAAGAGGCTTACCTGGGCCCAGTAGGCAATTGAAGAACCTAAGGTGAACTGAACACGAGGGCAAGTGTCTTGCCGGCAAAGAGGCTTGTCAAGCCCACGTTGGGCGACTCACAGGACCGGGCCTTGCAAAGGCGGCATGGGCAAAAGGCAAAAATTGCAGAAGCTTCTGATTGATGTCCAGGCGAGATTGATCTATTCATATCACCAACATGCAGACTCGAAACCTCCATGCTCGAGGATATGTTAAACGCGAGTGGTCACGAATGTCCACTGCCTCTTGCCGCACCCTGCAATTTTCACATCATTGCATGTGGGGCACCCACACGAAATTCGAAAGCTCTGTGTTCCACTGTTGTGCTTGTACAAAACCGTAAGCCTCTGGTTTTTGAATCATGTTTCTTTCATAGCGGCTGAATCAGCTAGCGTTCTGCACGCTCACCGTCACATGACCTGATGATTGCTTGTTTGAATACCAGACTCAATGCGAAAAAACATGCTCATGCACAAAATGACCTGCATGTAACCCCGCAGAAGGACCCCATGAACCCGTTGTACTCCCGGTTAAAGACCCCAATAATCCCCGGCATCATTCCCACCAAACCCTTCAGGTCCCTTCAAGCCCTTATATACTTGGAAAAGCTGTATGAGCACAAGCTGCAAGCCAGTATTGCTGCTAAAAACACTACGAGTAAAACTTGTCAAACAAGCATGATATGATATACCTCTAATTAACTGGGTTCCCACATCATACATGTATATATATATATATACATAGGACTCAGGGCTGCTCCGCTCTAGACACAAAAACACACTTGCTCCGCTGCCGTCGTAGCCTGCAACACCAGTTCTGCAGCGTTGCACTCTTCATCTCTCATTGAAGAATCCCCATGGCCCCAAAGCACACATCCAGCTTTTGCTCCACAAGTCTAGTTGGTATCCACCAATCTGTGACATATTGCCAGCTGAGGTTCTTTGAGGCTCTTGTGCTAGGGCCGCTAGGGAGTCACCTGCACAACTGGAACTGCGTTTGAGGCTCCGGAATTCAGGCAAAGAAGTACTACCACAATCAATAACAAGCGCAAAAATAACCAGCGGGAACAGCAGCAGAACAACAAAGGCAGTTTTATTTCTTGTTCTAAACTCAGCAGTGGTCCAACGCCAAATGAGCCCAGCAACGCGTAGCACCCCGCCTTCTCCGCGTCCGGCTCTTGCTAGACGGTCACTCTACAGCAGGCACCTCATTTCTCTATGTTCTCCGCATGTATCCATTCTAGCTGACCTTGGTTCTTGTCTTTCCTGGCACCTGATTAACTATTGCTATCACGTCACGATTACGTCAGGTCTGATCATCACTTTTGCCACCATTGTAACTCCTACGACTCTTGCTGTGACATCTGCCTCCCCCACCTCCTACTCCCCCTCCTCATCATCATCGTCGTCATCATAACCGTCATAACCATGATCACCATCATCATGGGTCTGGTCTTGCATGTGTCGAGACCTTGCTGCTGCAGAGCTGCAAAGAGCCAGGACAACCCCGCTGTCGTAACGTCGTCACTGCAGCACTGCTGTCGTTGTTGTTGGATTCCTACTGCCATTGTTGTCACAATTGCTTACTGATGGTTCAAATTGAGAAGCTTACTCTTCCTTTCTGCATCGAAGAAGACGGCTGTGCCCCATACTTTCAGAGAAATAAAAATCCACTTGGAGGTTCAGGGCAACTATAACCCCATTAAAACTGCGGTTCTAACCTCAAGTATAACCCCCTTGCAGGACCTAGGAAGCATATAATGAGGCTATAACTGAAATTATAACTGGGCTAAGCTTACCCTGAACCTCCAAGCAACCCTTTGCGAGCTCCGCCACACCCACAAGGCCCTAGGCTTTTTGGACTGCAGTGAAAGGCACAACCCTAAACCCTAATCCCTACTTGAAAAGATGATTAGGAAGAGGTTGCTGCTACTGCTGTTGTCATTAACGACGATGTAAGAGTAGCTAGTTGTCGCAAGAAAACCCCAACAAGAAAACCAACAACAAGGAGTGAGAGACATGAGCCCCTGACTACATTACTAGAATCCTCCCATCGAAAACCCAGTCCCTTATCAGAATCAAGTCATAGCCCTTCTACAGCCCCTACGTAAGCCTAATTTAGTCGGGGACTCAACGTCATTGCCATAGTCGTAGCCGGGTCCTAGCACTAAAGATCTCTATACAAGCGGCGTCAAGTGGCGATGCTGAGGACAAAACTGATATTTTGAGGATTGGAGCAGCGCAGCCCCAATACCATGCCTGTGCGGAAGAACCCCCAGCCCAGGTAAACAGCTTGCCAAACTGAGTGAGTTAAGTGGCTTTCACGCAGGTATTGGGGCTGTCTTGCCAAGAATCTGGTGGGAGCATCCAAAACCTGCGAGGGTTTCCGTGCTGCAGCACCACAGCGCAAGACTTATCATGTGATATGGTAGCTTGAGAAATCGCGCAGCCCTCAAGATGTATCCGAATCAAGGAGTTCCTTGCGTAAACGCACCCCAAACGACCACGTCTTCACACGGCCCTCTCAGCTGGCTCTTTCAACAGGGTCTGAGCTCCTTTCCGGTCCGCGCAATGCGAATAATCATCCAAATGAAAATTCTGGCGGAAACATTACAGCTGGGCAAAACCTAGCTGTGATGTTGAGACAGGGTGTCAGTGGAACTTCCCTGTTCTTGCTGGACAAGAAATTGAACATTGGAGGGTGAAACGGTTGGGAGCCGGTCACTTTTTGGCCGCCCCTGCTGTTTTGGCAATCTTCTGCGGCGCAAGCCATTTACTTGCAGCAAATCTAGTGTCCTGCTGGTTGAGGGCGCGAGCCCATGTCGAGCATTCGTTGCTGATCAACTCTTCTGTAGAGTGAACAAGGTGCTCGATGTTTGGGATCGCAGCCTGCTCGATATGATTCAAGCTGTTCCACCAGGACTCCAGATTCTTCAGCTTCTGGATGGTCTCGGAATAGCGCTGGATGTTCTGCTGGACATTTGTGAACTCTGACCAAGCACTGCATGCCGAGTTCATGTTCGTGCATACCTAGGTTGCTTGTTGCTACCTTGTTAAAGGCTCAGCTTCTCATACCCGTAACATCAGAAAGGCTAATCCACAAAAGTAATTAATAAAGGCGTAAAGTAATTGCAGAGTTCAACCAAGATACAATGACCCATCTCGTGAACTTAAGAAAAGTGACGAGGGAGCTCATTGCTACGCTGATACTCCCGATGAAAAACAAGATTCGGTTGTACCATGCGTACCAGGGCAACCGGCTCTGGTAGAATCGAACCATGGTTCTCAAACGCAACTCCAGGTAGAGTGCTGGTGGCACGGGGCTATGATGGTCATCCCTGCCGCTCCTGAATTTGCAGGGCCAGATTCTATGCCAGCACTTCTTCCAGAACTTCGGTGCTCGCGACCACATGCGATGACAGCACCCTCTCGGCTCATGTTGATCATGCGCACAGTACGAAAACCGATAATCCCTTTGAAAGTCGGATCGCTGCAGGTCTGTTTCAGCCACCACCGAGTCCCTCCAACGCGTCAGTTCCGCCTGAAACTGCTTTTCCTCAACATCAGTGTCGAGGCTCCGGGCTTGGACCTTGGACATGGCCTAAATTTGTGTTCACCTAGGGTTTAGGGTTTAGGGCTTAGAGGAACTAACGGGGAATACATGTGGAGGGACCTCATATCATGGTGCGAAAAACAATAGAGGGACCAGTATTAGCATGAACTTAAGACAATCCCCGCCTGAAACGGCCCACATCTGGCACGGAACAGCCAGATCAGGCTTTCAATTTCTGTAGCTGCAGCACGCAGCTTCTGCCAGCGCCTAATCGGATTTGCGAAGGCCAGGACAGAGAAGAGAAAAGTCGAAAGCAAGGAGGTAGCAAAAAGCACATTGTCGATACCGTCTTTGTACATGTTGACGTCACTCTCCGTTGTCAACTCCTCTGCCAGGACAACCAGAGCAGTGGCAAAAAGGTTCAAACAGAGCTGCAGCAGATACATTGATCTACCCATCCTGCTGTAGAACACCGCCAAGGCAGCCGCTGCGTCATGCTCGTTCCATGCATCTCTGAGAAGCCGTGAAGCCTCTATGCTGTTGGTGTCCGGAAGGCGGCTCCTCTCCAACACATCGCGGATTTCATCGTCCAAGGTATGCTCGCGTACGAAGACGTTCATGCCAGACACCGCGTCAGAAGTCATCAAAGCGAGAGCATGGGAGGTGTATGCAGCGACATCCTGGTCCTTGCGCCCTGGCAGATCAAGCACCTTTCCGCTAAAAGCCTGAAGGTGTTTTCGCAATTCCTTGTGCTCGTGGTACTTGTCCGTTTCCTTGTCGTCTCGGTCAGTCTCACCCATGGCAATCTGCAGCCACAATGGGATTTGCAGCTTGCCTTTGGCACTGTGCGGGTCGTGGTTCTGGTAAATCTCGATGACGGAAGCCAGCTCGCAGATGTCCATGCCAGACACCGTCTGATCAAGATTTGCCTTCAAGGCCTTTTTCAACTTTTCCTTGAGCTGTTCCAATTTTGCTTTGAACTTCTCTTTGGCGCCCTGGGCACCGGCAGCATTGTGTAAAGCCACGTTGAGGGATGAGTTCATCCTCTGGAGTTGTACTTGCGTGCGCAAGGACTTTCGAGGCACGTCATCCTGCTTTGTGTCAGGCAGGCAGGACTTTCGAGGCACGTCATCCTGCTTTGTGTCAGGCGGGCGCGGCGCAACATACCCACACCTCGCCTCAAACAAGTCAAGGAGAACCACGGGTATATTGCGCTCCGCAGAATCAACAGCCGCTCCCAAGCCAGCAGCAGCATCTGCAGCATGTTTTGATCCCTGTGGCCAAGAGCTTCCTGTCTTGAAGGCAATGCACGGAGTTTTTGCGTTGAAATGCGACATCAGCTCCGCTCGCAACTTGGTGCTTAGCTCTAGGCCAACTTGAGCTTTACTGGCCTTGATTGCGTCAATCAACACTAAGTTGCAGATACCAGCATGTAAATCAAGGGCAGGTCTAGGTCTCTGTTTTGAAGCTTTGGAGGACTGTGCTTCGAGCACCGACGCCGGTTGCGGATCATTTGGTTGCGTATCATGCCCAAATGTCGGTTGGGCGTCTTGCCGTTTGAGGCTAGCAAGGAGTTGCGCCCAAGGCTCTCGAGGATCTCCAACAGGTGGCTGTCGAGCCACTTGCTTCGGTAGGTGACGAAGGAGGTGTCTCCAATGTTCTGGCAGGTCAGAATCCTTTAGGCAGCCAGCTGGCCGCATTGCAAATCCCAGCACAGTAACCCGCACATCTGAACCCCAGGCAGGACGCCGCATCTCATACGCTTTCATGAAAGCTGCGGTTAGCAAGCAGTAATTCCTCCTTGCATCGCAGATTACCAAAGCGCCTGCCTCCTCTGCGATAGGTAGGAGCACTCTTTGCATGAAAGTCTCCAGCTGGGCTTTCCCGTCTTCGTAAGAAGCCAGATCACGGGACGTGGTGGACGCTGCTAGGTCCTGGGGAGGCGGAATGAAGTTCAAGGACGGAAGCAAGTTGAGGACTATCTTGGGTGGATGCTTGCAGAACTCGTCAGCCAAGACAGCTACACTGGCAGGTCGATGCATCATGAGTGAAGCCTGGCGATGTGTGGCATGCAGGACCCTGTAGGGCTCAGCGTGCTCTGGAAGGTTGACTTCATGGACCATCTCGTACATTGTGATGGCCTTTATGTCATGCAGATCAAGCTCATCCCAGCCGCGGCCAGGCTGATTCGCACCTGTGCTCTCCCTCTCAGCCTGAGAAGCGCTGTCAGCAGACGACGGCGAGGGCGGGCGCTTGGGACCTGAAAGTCCATCATAGGCTGGCTCAGGATTGGGCTCCTGAGCAACCAGATTTTTCTCAGTCTCTTCCAACTCAGAAGCATCTGCTTGCGAGCTGCCAGGGGACGGTCGTGTCTGCTGGGCAGCAACATCCGGAGCTTCCCAAAAAGGCACCGACCCCGTAGAGCTGCTGCGGGGCAGCATGGTCCCTGCTTGGCTTGGCACCGGCAGATCTGAAGAGACACTCATGACCTCAGCGTCCTTCTTCTTCCGTCCCTTCCTGAGTTGTTGTTAACGAACTTAAATTAAGTTACTATATTGGGGAAACCCTATCATTTACTATATATACCCTATTTATGGTAACTTAATTTAAGTTCCTTAACATCAGCCCAGCTTCTTCTGAACCTTTGGCTTCGGCTGAGAGTCCTTCATCCCACGTCGCTTACATGGCTGGCCTTTTTCGCAGCGTTCCTGCCCTGCCTGATCGCCCATCCTACGGGCTTGGAGCCAAAATGTCAAGGCCCGCAACAGGAACATGAGATGAGCTGCTCTTTATAACCCCAAGATTCAAACCCTATATAACCCTAATATAACCCATTATAGTAGTTTCCATTTTCTTTTCCATTATCTCAATATTGGGGGTTAACCCTATATGGTACTTTCCATGTTCTTTTCCATTATCCCAATATTACCCCCAAAGATGCTGAAGTACAGGCAAGGGATGCAAGTTTCCCGTCAGTCCGCCTGGCCAGCAGCCGATCGGGGCAGCCTAGGATCCAGCAGGGGACTATACTAGGGATTGCTAGGGTTTTAATATTGGGGTTATATTGGGATAATGGAGAAGAAAATGGAAAGTACCATATAGGGTTTAGGGCTTAGGATTTAGGGTTATATTGAGGGTTATATTGGGATAATGGAAAAGAAAATGGAAACTACTATAATGGGTTATATTGGGGTTATATAGGGTTTTAATCTTGGGGTTATAAAGACTTTGTGCTCTTTACAGTCAGGCACGACAGAAAAGGATGAAGCGCACCTCGTGCCTGCGAGCGCAATTCACGCAGCATCGCATAGCCTTATAGCCCCCCCTTAAGTAGATAGAATATGGGGTATATGGGGATCCTATTGCCATATACCCAAAGCCATATTCTATCTACTTAAGGAGGACTATAGGCATAGGGAAGTCATTGCAATTTCAGCCCCAGGCTACAGCTCTAGCTCGGATTCTGCGAGGAAGCGATGGCAGCACAAAGCTAACCACTGCTTTCAAGATTCAAACACTTTCTGGCCCATCATCCAAGACACAAATACGTTGCAAAATGGCTTGACTTTGCCACTGCGGCGACAGTGTCCTCCTAGGCCCAAACAGAAGATTGAAATACAAGTCTTGAGATCCGAAATCCTAAGCAGTGACGCAACCTTTACTTGGAATTGAGCCAAACCCTATATAACCCCAATATAACCCATTATAGTGGTTTCCATTTTCGTTTCCATTATCCCATTATAACCCCCAATATAACCCTAAATCCTAAGCCCTAAACCCTAAACACCTACACCCACTGCAGGGGAGGACTCTTCGTTGTCAAATGTCAGAACCGTTTGCGGGTGTGACAAGGCTCACAAAACTCCGTGCTTTTTATGCGCCCGTGATGTTCCCAGTCCAGGCGGGCATGGACCTTGAAGTACACCTAGTTTTGCGATTGATTGGCATGGTTGGGGCGTTGCGTTGAAATCCAATCTACTAGGTGATGCCACATGGACGTCCAGAACAGCTGTGCGCTGCGTCCCCGACCGGGCCAGCAGCGACACAGAGAGTTCGCAGGTTGGCCTTGCGCAACTTGTTCAAAAACATGGACACGCCGAATCACATCTCTTCAACCAAGCTAGCATCGCCTTGGGGCACGGATCGGATTAAGAGAAAAACATTCTAGCAACAGCAAGCAATTGGTACTAAACAGAGTGCGACATCGGTCCGCACAGCTCTGGACAGCAGAGTCTTTGATATCTTTTTCCACAGTTACCTCACATGAGCCACAGTCTAAACTCCTCATATCACCCTGAATAATCTCCATCATCGGAACCCTATTTGGCCTCATGCTATCCCGTATACGTCCCCCTTTAAGGAGTTTAGACTATGGCTCACTGACTAAGGTATTTGCTTCCCCAAAAGGAAATCCCTATATAGTCCCAGCTAAGCGCCTATTATAATCCCTAAACAACTCCCAGACAGAGGCTACACCCTGACACCTAAACCTCATTACAGCCAAATTTAGTCAGGGATTTCATGAGTTCTCTGTGCATTCATTCTGTGCTTCGGGCGGCCTCAGTTCCGCATCAAAAGTTCATCCTCCTCGGTGACAGTGCTAACCATCATTACTATTCTCACTAGAGTTACAAATATTACTAGTGCGCATTACTTGTACACTACTACTGCTACTGCGCTTATACTATTTCTACTATCAGCCGGGTACTCCGACTATTTCTACTTGGTAGCTCCCCATTCAAGCTACAAGGCATTGACCGATCCGCAAGTACTTCCATGCAGCGCTTGTCCCGCATGGACCTTCTGGAATTCTGGGATGCCTTTTTGGCCGCAAAACAGTGGTTATTATATAAGCCATAATTAATCAAACTCCTGATATCCCCCTTAGTAAGCCCTGTGATAGGAACGCTTTACACTCAATTGTTTTAAGCTATAGTTTAGAATCAGCACTACTACCTATCGGGCGGTGTGTTTTTTGAAAGCTGCCACATAGTAGAATGTATCACACAAAGCAGCCCTTCTTAGGTAGACGCTCATGCTGGATGGCGACACAATCGAGTTCCGGGCCATGTCAAGTGTATACAGTTGGCCAAGGGACCGCTTGAAGGGGGCCTTGTCAGGAACCCGAAACCCTGAACCCCTGATCCTAAACCCGAAACCCGTAGCTTTAAACGACCCTAACCCAACTCTCTCGCAGCAGCTTCTGACTCAGGAATGCACGGAACTGGGTATGCGGCCCCAGCCTTGCAGATCTGGCCCACCAGAAAGGCCTGGAAACATCCTGTTTTCAACCAGAGCTCAGGGCAAGAGTGGGAAGAATCTGGCCTGAGCGGAAGCGCTCCAGACTTCAACTTCTTCACCCTGCACTCTGCAGCACACACGCCAAGGCGATACATTCCCTGCTTACCAGTGCCTCGCAGAACTCCTGCATCAACGCGAGGCAGCAATAACAACCTTTCGGGCAGGAAGCATGCGTTTCACGTTCGCACACGCCCCCCCCCACATGCTTGCAGCACAATGACCCCCTAATGAACTATGACTGCGCCACTGGTCGAAAACTGTTGTTAATACATAGCACGGGGGAGGGAGGAGTGTGAGGGATGGAGAATGCGATGGGCAGTTGCATTGCATACGAATTCAAGAAGTACTGGCGTTTGGCTTGGGCAGCGGCCTCCTCCATTGTGGGCGACGTCCTGGCTCAGCAGCCGGCGCAGCCCTTCCTTTTCCTCCCATATTCGCTCTCCGGTCATCGCTTTCCAGTACTGGCGTTCCTCCCTGAAAGCCATGCTTCTTGAACAGTCCATGTGTTCTATGGTTTACGTCAATGTTTTTGTAAGCCCAAAAGGCTAGGTCACGAGCATGTTTTTGATTTTACATGTTCCACTGTTCCATGCTGTAAGCCAAGTGTCGCAATCCAATCCTGCAAGTAGACCAGGATGTCACAGACATGATCTCTTGCTTTACTTTGGAATAAAGCGCTCCGCCTGTAATGTGGACCATGTTGAAATTAAACTTTGCAATGGAGGAGTGAAACCCGTGTCTCGTTCGACTTCTTAACCAGATGGCTCGCACCAACAAGATTGCTGCTGTAGCGTGAAGAGACTACCGTATGCAACAAGGAAAATGCACATGGGATCCGCCAGCGCCCATCCGTTCATCGCTTGTTGTGAACTTCCACTAGACAAAGCTACAGCTGCAGCAACAAAAGTGAAGTGGTCTGCGGACTTTCACTCCTTTTTTCTTGGCGAGAGAGCTGGGATCTGTGTTTGACCCATCCTCCCAATTGGAGGAAAGGGTTCAGCAAAAGAAGCAAAGCGGTTTACAATCATATAAACATAGATCACAGTATTCCCTTCCCAAGTGAAGCAACAGCATAAAGAGCGTAAAACATGGCGTAGCACCAAGTTAGCCAAGCCCTCTGGTGTGGGAGGGTGGGTGAAAAATTGAGCAAGCTATCCTAAGCAGCATGTCTGTGGAAGTTACAAGCAGCTTGGAGCCCAAGTGCAATCAAACAAGCAAGAAACATACATGAGTGCACACATGCAACGTTCATCGCTTGTGGTGAACTTCCACTAGACAAAGCTACAGCTGCAGCAACAAAAGTGAAGTGGTCTGCGGACTTTCACTCCTTTTTTTCTTGGCGAGAGAGCTGGGATCTGTGTTTGACCCATCCTCCCAATTGGAGGAAAGGGTTCAGCAAAAGAAGCAAAGCGGTTTACAATCATATAAACATAGATCACAGTATTCCCAGTCCCAAGTTGCCAAGAAAAAGGATGCCGCATCTAGCGCCCCCAGTGTGAAAGTGGCGTACTTTCTTGAGCAACCTAAGCTCAGAAGGAAAAGCATGGGCAGGCTTGCCCATGTGCTAAGAGTTGCAAGAGACAACGCCCTACCTCGAGGGCAAGTCGAGCACCAAGGCCCAACTTGCCCGCGAAGCACTGCGAAGCAAACACTGGCAAAAGGTTGTGTTGAAGTGCACTGAAAGTCACTGCCAGGGCCCTGATTGTCGGGGCAAGCGCCATTGAAGGAAGGCGCCCCCAGGAAAAAGCTGTGGCTGAAGTTGCACTTGCCAGAAAGACTTCAGCGAGATGCGAACTCTTTCAGCTTCCCCAAAGTTGCGAGGCAAGGGGCATGACTCATCCCAGCGGCTCAAGGCGTCTGCCTCAGTGTTTCTCTCACCAGAAATATGGGAGCACGCAAGTGACACAGCGTGTGCGCAGGCCCACATGGCCAGCCGCTGGACGAACAAAGCAAGAGGCTGTTTGCTTGTGTAGAGGCGGTTAATGACACTCTCGGCGCCCACATTGTCACTCAGTGCAGGGAGTCTAACCCTGAGGCGCCCGCCGCTTATGGTCCTAAGCAGAAGAATCAAGAGGAAACCTTGAGCATGTGTCTCATAAGATGCAATGTCTAAGTTTGCATCGTCCTTGACTGGGATGCCAAGGGAGCGAAAGTCACCTGGCGTGAAGCGTTCTGAGAACCAGAA